GGGGGGGGGTCCCCCCGCAGCCCGCCTGGCTGCCCCGGGGCCCCGTGTGCGTGAGCGGGGTGATTCGGGTCCGCTCGCGATCCGGCGCTCGGGAGGTTTTTCCCAAGGCTTTTGGGGAGCTGCAGGAGTGAAAGCTCCTGCAGAGTCAAAGCTCCCCTTTCTCTATCGCTAAAAATACTAATGTACGAGCTTTACGGATTCCCTCGTAATGTACAGTCTCATCTTTAGCTTCTGCACGCCGAGTTGTGCTTTGTTTGTCAGCTTGTATGCTTTCTTCTACTCGTCTGCCTTGTTTTGTCTCGCCTCCTCGCTGCCTTAGGCCAGTGATTTTTTTTAAATAACTCCTAAAAGAGGAGGCACGGATGCACTGATTGTCACCTGAATATATGTCAGGTGATACCAGCATCTTCAGCTGTGCGCTAATACTTAGCATAAATACTGTGCTTTTCTGTGCAAACCTTTCATAAATACGAGCTGAGTTTCATAATTTGTTTGTGTCGTTGCTGGGTTGCGACATTGTAGTGGAGAAAGTGAGCTTTTGAGAGGTTTTCTCAGGGTTAGATAACAAGTATTCCTTCCTCCAATGATTCTTATTTTTCCATCTCTCTGAGAGGTCCTTCCTTACCAGCCGTCGCTCTGTTTACTGCGATGAGAAAGAACTTTCCCCCAGCTGATGGAAATTCGGCTGGCGCTCAGCCTAGGGCACTTAAATGTACAGTTGAAACTCAGATGGTATGGATTCTTCAGATGACCTGTGTTTTCAGGCAGATGCTGGTGGTCCTTAAAACTGTCAGGAAATACTGTAGCTGTCGCGTTTTTCAAGTGATTGTTTGAGATATCAGCATTGGACTCTGTCTCTCAGAGTTTTCCATCTTCGCTGTTGCTCTGTCTAAAGCACAGCTAATGGTGGTAGTAGCTTGGCTAATGTAAACAGGGCTCTGCGTGGCAGCCGTCTGTATCTGCCAGAACTTGGGTTACGCTGCTGCTGCTGTTGTCACCTGTGACAGCAGGGGGACAGACTGTTCCGTAAAAACACTGTTAGCACAGCTTCCACGAACTTGGGTCGCACCAGAGGGGTGGTGCTGTGACGTGGAGTTGTTTGTGTGAAACCCATCAAACACAAAGGGCTGTTCATGCTGCTGTGACTTCAGAGTCAAGCACAACTTGATGGTTACAGGGAGCGTTAGAATGGCTTTTGGAGGCTAATTATAGTACCTCGGGTCCCACCCTTTGAAATGTCGGTGATCTCCTTGTGCCGCTAACAGGGTACTGTGCTCTCTCAGCTCTGCGTGACCTTCCACGACCCTTCAGTGCCTGTATTACCTGAAAAGAAATGCAATCTCAAACTATATACCCTGACAACCTTCATCAATACGTAGTACCGGCTTCCCCCCGTTCTCCTTATAAAAACAAAAAAAGGGAAGAGAGAAAAAGATTTTCATTTTCCCAAGAACCCCCAAAGAAGCCCGTTAATGCAGTCTCATGATTAAAATTATACACTGTGTCTCTGTCTGTGTGTACACACACACACATGCCTAGATGTGAGAGGGAGGAAACTCAGCTGTAATGCTTGGAGTAAACATAGCCACCACGTGATGTGTCTCATATATAATTAGCATGACCTGCTGGTACAGAGCAGGAGGCTGACGAGGTATTAAGATACTTAACTTTGTCCTGCGCTAGCGATGTTGCATGAGAGCTGTCCCTGCTGATAGAGCTGGTTCAGCTGCGTTAGTGGTAGCTGGGTTGGAAGCACCAGTGTAAATGGGATTCTCGCTGCCAGCGGTATTCTACTCATCGTTTGTTTAGATCTGCTCTTAGCAGAACTAATGGCAGTATTCCTGAACCG